CACAGCAGACATGTTGCCAATTCAACACATGCTACATGGGCGAAGTCCGGCCTGGGGTTCCCTAATCTGGACACTGCAAAAAAGTCGGTGTGAAATGATTATAATGCAATTAAATGCAAAGGTGCAAGCGAGCTGGACAAGAATGACGAAAATTTTCACACGGCGTGAAATCTCGGGGCTATGATTGGTCGGCGCCAAGGTCAAGTGCGGCTTTGGACCAATCACGGCCGCTGGATTTCTCGCCCACTTTTTCGCCAAGTGCCCAGATTAGGGCCCCTGGTCGATCATTTCTTGACGACGAGTCATGCTTTTGGATTTCAACTATGCGTCGGCCTTGCCACGGAAGCTCGTAGAATCGTGGTTTATCCGCCATGAGTCAACGGCGTGCAATGTCAACTGCTGCTGACTGCACGTTACCGGACGTGGTCGGCCCTCTCCATCATGACCCTGTATATGTTCCCTAGTGTTTGTGCGTAAAAGGTTGCTCTAAGTTTTTAGCGCCGAGATTTTTTTTTTATTGTGTGTGTCAGTATAGTTATCCTTGTGTTTCGTCTGGCCGGCACGCGTTGGTAATGCAGTGGTACGTAAAAAACGCAGAAGGCGTTGTGTGCTGTGAGGAAGCTTTTAAAGTTGGTGGGCCGTGGGCCGCAACTACGACGACAGTAGAACAGTGAGCCACCACGCCCGTATTCCTCGTAAATGAAGCCTGCTCCGTTTTCAAAACTGACAATGCAGCTTTTACCCTTTTTATCTGAATTAACAGCGCCTCCCTAATTTTTGCGTGAGCGTCCGTACCGCCGAGCTCACCCTGCTTCGTCATTGGTGGTGGTGGGGAAGTTTTCAGCGCTGCTTACGTCGTCCAAGAACGCGCGCGGAATCGAGGAAGGAGGAAAGAGTGGATGATGAGTGAAAATAAAAAAAACAGAATCGGGCGACTTTATGCGTCTCCTATCGCATAACAAAGGCGAAGTACACTGAAGTGTCCGGAAGTATCCAAGAATCTGTTTCGCCAAAAACTTTAGCACAAAATTGCCACGATTCATTTAAAATAATAAATATACGAATAATAATAGTTTAAAACTATATTAAAATAATATTATAACGCAAAGGATGACATTACTTTTATTTGGTAGGATTCGGTCAAATTTAGCGACTTATAGCAAATTGGTCCAGCCACATATAAAACAAAAAAAAAACATGGCAGCGCCCACAAGTTGCTTGTCGTAACATGCCCAAACAACGACTGTTTGGGGTACGGAAGCGGGATGTCCGCGTTTCCTTTTGGCAGTCGTTTCTTTAGGAAAATAAGGCTGCGCCAAGCTATTTGAATTGTCACATTCGTCGTAGAGGTTTGTCTCCGAGCGACGTTCAGAATGTCCATGCTCGAGTTTGAAACCCAGCTGTTCCTCGATCTGCACAACGAGGACGGGCTTGTCATCCTCGCCAAGTGAGTGAACCTCATCCTTCGGTACTTACATTTAGTTGATAAGCCGATGCGTGGACCCTGCTTTACTCTAATTTGTGTTCGATTCGTTCAGGGGTCTCGGCATAGAGCGCCTGCTTCTAAGCTTAATCAAAGTCCACAATGATCCCGGCAATCTTGTTCTTGTCCTGGGCACAACTTCGCAGGAAGAGGTGAGTCGTTCACCATCGCGCACCATTGCCTGAAATCAGTGCGATGGTGGAGCCGTCCACCATCGGATCTATCTCAAGGACTCCGTGTAGCGAAAGCTCGCACCTTCGATAGCTGAGCGTCATATCGGCGTTCATTCCTCTGTTCACTACTGCGCGATAGTGATGCTAATGATCTTGATATGCATATGTGGCGCTGGACGACATGCTGGGTTAAACACGGTGTCCAAGGATCCCCAGGTGCAAGCTGTGGTGCTCTGCAGAGGTTGCCTTCCTACAGCTGACACATAAAACTCCAGCTCAAAACTGACGGACCTCTGTATATACATGGCTTGCACTGACGTCGCATCAGCGGCTGTTGTGAAGAACCTTACTGCTGCGTGCGAACCTTCCGCGGCATATATTTCACACCATAAAGTATGTTCCTCTTGGCAAGATCAAGGAGGAATGATCGTTGCTGTGGTGTGATGATGTCACATGCAAGACATGTGTAAACATCTGTATTGTAAAGCTGAGCATTATACACTTCAGTACCAATGAGGTAAGCCCGTGGTTGTGTGGGCTGTGCAGAGTGTGCTCTCTAGAACATGTCATTGCGTCCAATGTCATTACATCTGTCATGATTGGTGCCCCTCGTTCAGTGAGCAAGACACTCGAAATCCAAACAAAATTTCAACCTTCTCCTCACTTCCAGCGACTTTCCTCGTAACTTTTTGTAACATGTTTCTGCAGGAGTTCTTCATAAGTCGTCTAGAGGCGGACAATGCGAATCCATTGCCAAAGTCTATCACAGCTGACTGCAGCACCAAAGACAGGTAGTGCTCGCCAGCCTTTTTGTGCGAAAAATGTTTTAATGCTGAGATAGTTCATTTTTTATAATGTGAGCACTCTTTTTTGTTGTCTTTGACTAGGAATGATGTGTACCTGGCTGGCGGTGTGCTGTTCGTCACGTCAAGGATCCTGGTGGTCGACATGCTGACGGAGCGCATCCCGATTAACCTGATCACGGGAATCATAGTTTACCATGCTCACAAGTACACACCTAAAATAGCTGCATTATACAGAAAGCTGTATGAAAGAAACGAGTGCCTATTGCTTTGGCAGAAAAGCCTAAACAAGGACGGCTTTACTCTTTATTTTTCAGGACACTCGAATCGTGCCAAGAAGCCTTCATCCTCCGGTTGTATCGACAAAAAAACAAGGTAATCTTCGAGGTCCTTAGCATCTACTTGTTGTGGTCTTGCAATTACCAATTTGTTTCTTTGGAACACAGGAGGGGTAGACATCTATTGTCTGTGGACTATAGATGTCTACCCCTCCTGTATTCATTCATTGGGCCTGGGCACATCTGTATAACCTACTCTTCACTCATTCGTCATTCCGTTTTCTTGAAGTGCAAACCCAACGCTTCCTTGAGGACCTTGCTCGGTGCGGTTTCTGGATAAATCCCGGATAAACCTCACTTCTTCATTTACCCTTTTGCACACTGTATTCATCCAATAACCCCCCCCTTCCCTTCCATACAGTGATGAGCCATGAGTCATTTTTGAGTCCTTCAACACCCTACTGGTCACGGAACTTCGGCCAAAGTTTGGTACAGAATCGATAGCTGCCGCTAAGGGCGCTGCTGTCCTGGGGTGGGGCCTATTCAGTGGGTCGCCCCACTCTTAAAGAACCACCTCGAATTTGCGATTACAAGTAGTTTTCAAAAACAATTTCTCTTACACCGAAATTTTGTTACGTTTGTATTTGATCACTGTATGCAAGCACCAGTCATTCTCTATTGATCTCTAACAAGAGAACTTACAAATAAGCTTATTTCGGTTGTTTTCAAAGAAAACAATGCTTTTGCAAGCGAAAAAGAGCTGGGCAGTTGAGCGTACTGGTTCGCAATTCCTCTACTAAATTGCGCTAGGCACGGTGCTGAATTTTTACAGTGTGGGGGTTATTGAAAGGTTATTTTAAGAAAAGCGCGAGGAATAAAAAGGATGTTATGTTGGAGAACTTTGCAGATGTACAAGATTGAGCAGTTGATTTAGTGTACAGAGCTGAAGACTTTTTTTTTTAATTAACGAGAAATGCTCTCAATGCGGTGGCGTGTTATCTTGATTTATAGCTGTCTCATTCAAAGGGTGTTCAAAATTCCGAAACACTTCTGGGTTGCCGGACCCCCAGCAGTGCAGACTAGGAAGGCACACTGCCCATGGTCGCGTACCAGGCTCTCCCATAGCATTATGGAGAAGGTTTGTGACCAGTGACGTATTGAAGGGCTCTGGTTCTGCCAGTCCTGAAGGGGTCTCTGAAACATCAGTGGTCTAGAACCACTGGTCCAATTCCAATAGTGCCATGCAATTTCCTAGGTGGCCTAATCTGTGCTTGCACCATATGGTTTACTGGAAGTACAGCGCTACATGATTCAAGCTGTCAGTTTCGTGCCTCTACATTTGCCATAGCTTTGGTGATCCATTTTCCCTGAACATTTCACATCCGCCTGCTTCCACCTGCAGACGGGCTTCATCAAGGGCCTGTCAGACAATGCGGTCGCCTTCACGTATGGGTTCTGCCAGGTCCAGCGGATGATGCGCAACCTGTTTGTCAAGAAACTCTTTCTATGGCCTAGGTTCCAGGCGGACGTGATCGCTTCTCTGAACAAGCGAAAGGTGAGCCTCATCGCTTAGAAAGACACTAAACTCCCAGGAAATGTTTTTGGTAAGTCCCTGAACACGAAAGGAAATGTCGCAAAATAATGTTTCCTGAATTGAAATAAAAGTTTTAGTCTAACATTGAGGTTGTGTGGCACATTTTGAGTGAAGAGAAATTCCAAAGCTAGCTTTTATTGCAACACATAAATACCTATTGCACTGAAAAGAGTTTTTTTGTTGTTTTTTTTTGTTAGAAGTTTATTAGTGTCATACGTCTGAAACAAAATAGCCAGGCACTCTCTAAAAACGTTTCTTGTGAGTTCAGTTTTGCTTTAGTGCTCTCTGAGGTTGTGCTCATAGCAGGGTGGTACAAGTTTGGTTTATGGCAAACAAAAGCTGTAGTATACTTGTAGTTTTCGTGCAGGCACTGGAAGTGCTCGTTTACGGTTGCTGCCCTATTTTACAAATTCATTGGGAATTGCGGTGGAGTCTGAATACTAAGCAAGCAGTCCAAAAAAAACGATTTCGGCCGAAAGATTAAGTTCCAGTGCATCTTATACTTGATATTAACCACTTCCCACTTGTTTTATGCGAATGCAAACTTCCTGCTTGATCGAATGAAATTGGCCATTTTTGTTTGTTAGGCGGAAATATTCCCAGGCAACACTGGTTATGTCCCCTCTTGCTTGATAACTGGAGCTTTCTTTTTTGTTGTCATAGTCTTATATTTACTGTGTTTTTTAGGGGCATTCATTGATGCTGCTTGGAGACATTATTCGGTTGACCAAAATTGCTTCGGTATATTAGGCCTATGGACAGAATGTACTCAAAATCAAAGCACATGAGAACACTGTCTCAGTTGTAGACTCCCATTGCGGTGTAGCCCCCTCGGCAGCCACGAAAACTACCAGATAATAGCAGAACTGGAACATACAATCCAACAATTGCCTCATTTCAGCTTCTCTAGTTTGTAGGATTTAATATTGAGGCTGTGATTCAAAGCTTCTTCGTGTCCTTGTCCTTGTCTTTACTTTGCACTAGCATTTATTGTTCATAATGCTTATCTCACTAACCCACCTTAATATTTTAGTCAAAACCAATGGAGTGACAAATTCTCTTAGTGTTGGTCTGGTTGCTGTAAACGATGCCAGCCATACAAACAAAGTCCGAAGTGTCAAGCAGCAAGTTGTTTGGCATCTGAAATTTGGTGCCCAAAGGATTTGCCAACTACTTTAACAAAAAACAATGCTAATGTAACGAATATTTCAAAAAGAAAAAAAAAATTGCTTTTTAGAGAGGGGTACCACTGAATAGTGAAGATGGACTATACTATGGAAGAGATTTGGTAATTAATTCTAAAATGCAGATGCAGGTGAGCCACTTTACTGTGGACATTTTGGCCTGGGTGGGTTTTGCAAGGAAGGTTCGTTCGTGCCGGGGCAATGAATAATTTCAGATTGTTTTGTGATAGAGCTGCCGTTCAGTGTGCCGAATGAGTTGACTTGCCTCATTCTTTGCTGCAGCCGGATGTAGTGGAACTTCGTGTGGGCATGACTCCAGCCATGCAGGCCATACAGCTCGCCATCTTGGACATTGTGGCCAGCTGCGTCCGGGAAATCAAGAGAGTGAACCCTTCGGTACATGGTCTCGACCCTGTATTGGTCTTTATTTGACGCTTTTCCGGCCACCGATTGGTTTGAGTGCAGGATTGCATTCAGATGTCCCGGTGCGAAGTCGTTGAGTCACGTGACGCCGCAGTGACAACAACGTTATTGTATCTAGTACCGTTGGGTGTCAAGTTGTGGTCTCTTGTGAAGCACGACCACATCGTGTGACTTTAGATTACGTGGCACTGTACGCTGTGTGGCGGGACATTACCCGGCACCATGACTCGATTCCGTGAGCTTTCATGACCGCATTGTGTGACGTCAGGTACCATGTTAGCATTGTGTCTTAGCACCATGGCGTCATCATGTGACATCAGGTCACGTATGTCACGTGATTCATCAGAGTGTGCCAATAAGAAAAATGCCATAAAAGCCCGCCCTTTCAGATACATTGCAATTTTGCACTGGATGGTTTGATTGACATATTGAAATAGAGCTGCCAATTTTTTGAACAGACAATATGTGTATCTGTTTCTCGGGGTGTCATGTCTCAACTTACCGCAAAAGTGAGATTTTGGTCACCCATGTTTTTCAATGTTAAGGGGGGACATAAACCTAAATTAAATTTAAAAAAAAAAAAAAATTTTTTTTTTTTTTTAAATTTGGGGTTTTTGGTATTAAAAACATATTATACACCATTACACTAAATTTCATAACCATGTGCCAAATAGTTACGTTAATATAAAATATTTTCGACACATTGTGACGCAGTAACAAAGTAAAGGAGTGCAATATTTGAATGCATTTTTCTCAGTTCTGCTTTTTGCTGCAAATTTCATATGAGGGAATTTTTTGTTCGAAGGTAAAATAATTTTGATATCACAATCAAGATGCTTCTGAGCTGAAATGTACTGGGGAATTGGGCTATCTACTTTATTTTGTTTTAAGTTAAAGTCTTCATTGAGAAAAAGCTATGTTTTCCAAAATTTACATAGGACAGATATGCATCTCATATTTTGAGGTAATCACTCTTCCTGAAATATTTACATTTGAGTTATAAAAGCCAGATAGCCCGAAGTCCAGCATACCCCACTTTATATTCAAGCAGTTAAAATGATGCTTAATAGCTTTATTTGCATATCATAGATTTCTTAACGAAGAGTGACACATCTTCTTAAGCAGGTATGTAAAGTTGTCCTAGAGAGCTGAAAGTTTACACAGTATACCTATATCTGAAGTTAAATCTCCCCTGCAAATTTCATTACGATCACTTGGGTAGTTCGGAAGTTCAACCTCTAGCCAGTGTTCCCCCTTCAGAAGTGCAGGTGGAACCATCCGACTAAAATTAAGAGAACAGACTCTCTTTTCAACCAGTTTTTTTTATAATCCAGGAGTTCTCGAAGCTCAACATCCCGAGGCATGCCTGTCGTTCTAGTTCGATAGCCGAGGTACTTCTCCCAGTTTTAGCATGATGAAATAAAGCAGTGGAGAAGTCTACGGACCTTGTAAACAATAACGCACACACCAAGGAGTGTCTGCCTTACAGTTACGCATCAATAAATATCTCGGATCATCTAAAATTACGCCTAAACCGGAAGAGCACTCAATTTAGGGTCAGGGACGGCCAAGAATTTTTTGGCAGCTCAAGGAACCCCCCCCCCCCCAAGGGTACTTTGGAGGAGAACCCAGTTTGAGAGCCCATGCCATATTTTACTGCTTTTCAGATGGAGATGGACGACCTGACCGTGGAGAACCTGATTGCGAGGTCGTTTGAGAAGATAATCAAGTTCCAGCTGGATCCCATCTGGCATCAGCTGGGTGCAAAGACGCGCCACCTCGTGTCCGACATCAAGACTCTCCGAACGATACTCCAGCGAGTCCTCTTTTATTCTTTAAATTTCGGGTTTTAATGCAGTGACGCTGAAGTTATCTCTTTCATCTATTAGCCCCGAGAGCGAACACAAGCGTCGCTGCAGTCGCCGCGCCCTGATTGGGTGAGGGGTACCGTGACGTCAGGGCGATGACTCCGCTCCGCGATCTCGCATCGGCTCGCTTCCCAGCACCGGTTTCCTGGTTTGGCGTTGTGTGCCGCAAGCTCTTCGAGGAGCTGGACTTCGTTTACCCGGTGTACAGGACGTTGAGTTAGGCCGATATTGACGTGCTTCCGTACATTTTATAAGCCTGCTCGTCCCTTTTACCTTTAAAATTGGGTTACAAATCCCGAAAGCTATCGGCGGAGGCAATTCCGCCGATGAACCTGCCCGTCCGTCCACACGACACAAGGCAAATTTGAGAGGGATCGGTGAAGCGGTGGCGCAAGTGTTTCAGACGCTGGAGTTCTGTTCCTTGCATGTTCATGATTTAGGGCGATATTACATCCCGCTTTCAAGGCATTTGAAGGGAGATTTATATCATGGGTCCTTGGGCGGTCGGCAAATTAGCTCGCGACCCCGACTTTGCGCTGCCACTCGGCATGCGCTGGTTCGCAGATGTTTTAAAGGCCCTGTGTCTGATTATCTTTGAAGTGCTCGTGGAACAGGGTTGTTTTACATAATGAGGAAATTAGCGCAAATACAAGGAAGGAAGAAAGAACGTTAGGACAGTTTTCTTTTTTCACCTTATGATTAAAGCCAGTTGTAAGTAGCGCTCTTTCCTGTCCTAACGTTCTTTCTTCCTTCCTTGTATTTGCGCTAATTTCCTCATTATGTTTAGCCAACTAGCCCACCAGATGATTTTAATTGTTTTACATAAATGTAGCTTCTTCGTGAATTAGTTATATAGTTTATACACGTATGCAGGCATATTTCTTAGAAGATACAGAATTACTGGAAATTAGTTTGTATGGTAGCAGCAAAGACGGCCGAATTGCCACCAGTGCCTGCTTGATATGTATTGAACTGCCAAAATATGCACGGCAATAGTGCCGTAATATTGAATGATTATACTTTTTCCTGTCATTCTTTATTCCAGCCTTGGGTATACCGAAAATACGCCGTTTAGTCTGAATTGTCATTTCCAATTAAAAGAGACACTGCTGCAGGTCCCCAAAAGCTTCCTCAGCCTCCAAACTCCCTACAGCTGGACTCTCTGACAACAGAGGAAAACAGGAGTAAAAGCAAGCATTCGAACGTCCGTCCAGTGGTAAATGCAGCACTAGCAGCAGAAAATGTGGAACCTGTGAAGGGCGACAGTCTGCGTGAGAAATGCTTCTGGTATTTTAGCTTCAGGACAATTCGATTTAAGTAAAATCTAAATTTTAGGGCTTAAGGGACTAATAACGAGCTAGACACCTTCGCTTGCGTTTGTTATACATTACTTGAGGGTTGATATAAACAAGTCCCCAGATACCACCCGTGTAGTCCATTGAAATACTATTTGAATCCAGCAAAGGTCAAATGCGAGCAATGTATATAATAAATGTTCCTTGTTTTTTTTACTTTGCCCCTGCACTTGGGCTGTCTTACTTGTGATTCTCTGCCCATGGCCCAGACTGTATTTAGCATGTTGCTTGAGCAGCATGCAGCTTTTCTGCTTCGGCAATCTTGTTTAAAAACAGAGATACAAAAAAAAAATAGTATACATAACGTGCCAATTTATTCAGAACATTAGCAGCATTTATTGTGCGAGATGTAAACCTATAGTGATGCTCCGGCAATTGTGGCCATATTTCTTTCTTTTCATATACCACTCCAATTCATGCGTCGCCTGCCCTGTCAACCATGCTTAAAATGTTGGTTGAAGTTTCGCCTGTAGCTACAGGCCATACCTCAATAAAGGCACATATAAAAATTTACACTTTCTACGAAAACCACGCCAAAAAAAATGAATAAATAGAAACGAGGGCGCCGACAGCTGGTGTCGTCACAGCCTCCACAGGGCGAGCGGGGCGAGTCGGGGAAAAATTCTCTCCTCGCCGTGACATCACCCCGGTTCGCTGTAAGGGGGCACCACGCCAACTTCTCGGGGCTAATACCGTAAAATCTCCAGATACTCCCCCACCCCCTATTTTCGGCTCGATTCGCTATATCTTTTCAAACACCAAAAGATAGCCCACTTCTAATAATTGTAGTGTTTGAATCAATGATGGCTTCAATGTGTGTGCGGCTAGTTAGCTATGGCAAGATATAAGCAAACTTTGCTGACTGGGAAGTACAATCATCTTTGCTTCGTTGCCCCTCGCCGCAATAACAAGTTTGGGTGAAACACATGATCTAAAATCAAAGACTGGTGCGCGGATTTTCGTCCGAGCGTGATTGACTGCGTTTCAGTCGCCCGTGCCCGCTTGCGACGAGCAAACACACCGATGCCACCTGTCAAGTAGACCCGGAACACGTTCAATCCGCTTAAATTTCTCACTTCCTCCTGCATTAATCTTTTACTGTGGGCTCGAATTAATTTTGACGCTGTCGTAAGTGACTACTTGTAGGTAATGCGTATATTTGATCTTGGAAGTGCTGCAAAACCTTTGGTCTGGTTATACTCAAGTTGGAAGGGTTCCAGGGCTACTTATAGATGGCGCCAGTGTGCCAGCGGATTCTCTTGTTTTCGTTTTCGTTGGCCCCTGCGTTCTACCGAGCGCATGGAGAGAAATGGGAGACAAACGACGGGATGATGAAGTACTTGCGACTCTTTGCCGCACTATATCCTCTCCGCTTCGCACGCCGCGGCACGCTGCCTCTCGGCCGTGCCTCTGGACCTCCCGCAGAAGCAATGGTCCCTTCCCACAGTGCGGCTTGGATCCAACATGGCCGCCCTGGGAGCACCGTTGCAATACTCTGCCCCGCAAGTGGAGCATATGCAGTTACTCTAGATGAAGTTAGACACTGGTGCCATCGATTGAGTAGCCGTGAAACACTCAGTTCTCAAATATTTTCTAATCTTTATGTGCATCACTCTTTCTTTCTTGGCTTGAAAAACTTTCGACAATGTTATGAACGACAGTTCATCATAGATAATATATACATTTGACCTCGCAAATACTGCAAAACCTTCACTCTAGTGAATTGCAGTTCCGAGGTCACCTCATAGATGCCACCATGTCCTCTTGTCGTAAGACGTTGTAAGAGATTGGTTCGAGGGTGTCCTAAGCAAACACAAGTGTGGGATTGAGCTTTGAGTGTGGACCAAAGTAAGAAAAAAAAGGTTCCTATGCACAGCAATCCTTTACAAATGTCCGCTTTATTAGATCACAACGAATATTGTATCATACATAAAGAGAGAGATAGATACAAATTAGCTTATTAAAGAACATAGGTACCTAGATTAATTGTTCGGAAATACATAAATTATGATTATCACGCTTTGTCAATCACAAAACTTGTCCCGCCTCGTAACGAACAAGCTAGAAAAAAGCAAATCCTTCTACAGTCCGCATCTGTAGCAGATGGTCCGCTCTGCGTAATTTGTTAACTTTTGAGCATGTACAGCCTGCAGACTATACTTTCGAAAATGCAGTAATCGGCAGAGGACATAGTGTTACTTAATAGATAATTCCCTTGCAGTGACTGTGTTTTTAAGTTTTTTTGAGTGCTGAAAAATTTTGACATTGCAATTTGAAATTATTTTGCAGGTATCTTACGCAGTACGATTGTGTGACATTCTACAGCCTCGTCAAGTCAGTCAGGTAAGAAAGGTTTCTTTGTTTTTTTATGAAAAGACAGTGAGCGCGCTGGTGAGCTGGTGACAGTTAATCATGATGTTTAAAACCCGAGACTGGTGGTGAAGCAAGAAAAGAAAAAAGTCTCGGGTTTTAGACATCACGATTGTTGTTCATGCTGGCATTTAGCCCTTGTCCACATTTTGTATCAAGAAAGGGGTAAATGGTGAGAAACAATTGCATGTTTAACGATGACGATAAAGATCACTGCATCACTGAAACAGCGGTCGCTATGTGTGAATGTGGGAGACTGAAGCTGCAGCAGTTGCGCCGTCAAAAGGCCGGTCATGGCTGCTCTTCATGAAGCCAGACATGGGAAATGGTGACTGGCAGGCTCGTAGCCAAGATTTTGATTCGGGTGGAGGCCCGCCCATGACAAAATGCTATATGAGGGGAAGTGGGGGAGAGGAGGTCCCAGCAAAATGGAAGATTTTGGGAGGGCCTGGGCTCCATGGCCCTCCCCCCCCCCCCCCCCCCCCCCCTGGCTACTTGCCTGGTGACTGGCACTGGGATTCTAGGCACTTAAACATTGTGCTCAGATGAACTGCACAGTTTGATGTTTTGAACTGAAATCTCACTTGTAATAAATATACATAAAAAAAAAAGTGATTTAGTGGCAGACTTGGAGGCATTGCACATTTTAATCGCTGGCACACTATCGTGCAGGGACGCAGGGACCATGACCTCGCAGATTTCGGACTGGTTCTTTCTTGATGCCGCCGAGACACTTTTCCTGGTGAGGAACGCCACCGAGTCGGATTTCTGTCATCAACACCTTGCCTTCAAGAAATGACGAGGAAATAATTCGTACGGACTTTATTCCACCAGCAAGCCAAAGCAAGGGTGTACGGGAGCGAGCAGAAGCTCCACAAAGAAGAGGCGAAAGGAAAAGAGGCTACAACTAAAGGTAAATAAGGGTCTGTTTATTTATTTATATTATTTTATTTTATTCAATACTGCAGGTACATTGAGGTATCACACAGTTCTTCAATTTACCTGCAGTGCACTACCTACAGCACTGAAGGTAGGATCAATGTACTTATTTTCAACACTTGATTGACTGTAGAGCTTGATAATTTCTCCAGTGGAGACATTCACAGGATGTTATATTTGAATGCACTGTTCACTGGGAATGTTCAGGACGTGCTCACACTCACAGGTTCCCAAGAAAGGCAGTCGTGATGGTGTGGAATGCACGAAAGCACTGAGGAAGCTCGCAGTTAGCATGTGCTGATCAGCTATGCATGTAGCTATGGCCACCAGTGATTACCCCTTATGCCTTGCATTCAGGTATACCATGTATCGCCAGTCATTAAAATGTTCTTTGGATAGAACGGTAATAATGACTCTGGCGGTATGTGCTAGTGAATGACCGTGGACTGTCGCTTTCTTAGAAGGAGCTTGAAGCTCTTTTTTTTTTACTTTGGCACATTACTGCTGAGAGAATACTGTTTCCCTTCTCTAAGCCAGGAACAGGCATTGTTTTGTGCTTACCCGTGTTTGCCATGCAAGCAAAAGTAATAAATGAAATTTGAACTTCTCTTTTTGCTTCGACTACCTTCCTCTTTCATGAGCCAACGGTCAGATGTGTGCAACGAGTCTAGTGCCATTAAAAAGAGTGACCCACAAAGTATGAGTTATTTCTTGGCACTGGATATCCAGTGCCAAGTTAGGCTCACTCAGAGTGGAAGTGAGGACTTGCTCCAGTGCAGACATAGAGCCCCAGAAGTAGTGAAATTGCAGAAAAAGATTAAAATATTCCGGGGAGTTCAAAAGGAATGTATTAACAACGACTACTCCTTGCACCCCTCCAAAGGACTGCCAACTGTTCGGGGGCACAATGAAAATGGATTGATAGATTAATTGATTGAAAATCGCACGCGGCAAACAGCCTCTTGCAATTATGAACACTCCACTGGAACGTTGTAGTGATATGGCAACTTGATGTCTCCAATTCTAATATAAAATGAAAAAAAAAAAAAAAGAAGCTACTAAAAGGGTTTTGTAGTGGTAAGCAGGCAAGTTTCTGATGGAACAAGCTCTTCATAGCAAAAACTGATATAACGAAGATGTGGGTATTGCTAATGAATCAGAGTTGAAGTGCCCTCGTAACGCTAGCATACTGATGTAGTTGCCAAAAAGATGAGGAGTGTTTGGCATACTTATGTAGTTGCCAAAAAACTTATACAGTGCAATGCACTTATAACGACGCCAGATATAACAATATACTGCTTATAACGATCAGTTTCTAGAGTTTCAAGACTAGAAACACCCAGCTTCTAGTCCAGATACAACGATGATCGGTTATAACGATTGAATTTTTGGGTTTTCTCATTATCGTTATGAGTGGATTGCACTGTACAGTAAAATTCATCTATAGTAAAGACTGCTAGAAAATATGTAGTGCAGCAAAGTTCATGTATGCTTGCCATACTGGGGCAGGAATTTGAGGTACCGCAATAGGGGAGACACTCACAAAACTGTACCGTAAAATACCGGGCAAGCGCCCACTAAAATACTATAGAGATAATCGCGAAAAAATGGGGGATGAGGCGCTTCTCTGGTCATCAATTTTACATATCAATGTACTCTGCATATTTTCTCAGATCTTATAAATTTGGGTATGGGCGCTTAGTGTGAGATGGGTGGATGCCAATATTCTACGGTAAGGTTTTTTTGTTTTTTTGAAGACTGATTTTACTGTTGTACAAAGAAAAAGCACTTCAGGGGAGTTGTCTCCTTCAGAGGCGACATTGCGGATGGAGGAGAGCCCCAAGTGGGCCGCCCTCTCGGAGATCCTGGTCGAGATCGGACGAGAGAACAACGACTGCGGGGATCTCAACTCTGTCCTCGTCATCGCCGAGGACGACCGAATCTGCGGGCAGCTCACAGAGGTAGCGTACTGTCCTGCAGAAAATTAGGTTTTCCTTACTTCTCGATGTGTCCCACAAAACATCTGGAAACCAGTCTAACGCGTCTGTTAAACAAAAGTTAAGACCACAAGTCCTTTTTTGCCAAACACTCCTCGGTCTTCTCCCTTCAGCCACGTGACAATGGGTAGCTTCCTCTCCCTCCAGTCACTTGAAGATGGGGAGCTCTTTTGCACTGGCTGCTTGTGGAAGGATCTATCATGGATGGATAGGGTTGTCCACTTTAATGTGTTCTGCCATATGGAGAGGATAACAAAGGAGTGCGAGGAGAGGGGGAAAGCTGAAACGGTAGAATATAAACTGCAAGGCTGTATCAATCAGTTTTTGCTTTTTCACGCTTCAGTATCTGATTTTTGCCGCATACTCTAACCGGCCTTTTGCAAATATCCCAAAAGGTGACGCACAGAGTCCTGCATGTTCCTTCTTTCCGCGGCATTTACCAAGTGACGCTGAAGAGAATGAGAAATAGAGAAGGTAGTGCAGTTGCTCGCCTGCATACCCTTTGTCACGTCCACGATCGCCGTCACCACCTGCTAGAGCCGGTTCTGTAGAGGGCTCTCCCAACATTTTTTTCAGCATCGCAGGCGGCACTATATGCTTCTTAAAAGGTCTATGTGAGGCCAAGGTCACGTAGAGAGATCACGCAACCTTTGCCCCATATCACGACTTTATTTCGTTTGTCCAAAACAAAAAGTGTAACTTATTTGTGTCAATCCTACAATTTAGTGCTCCTGAGTGCCTCATAATTTGACGAGCCTTACACGAAAAACATAGTTTTTTGGCCATCCCGCGCCGTTTTTTTTATCTGTAGCATGAGTCTATACTCTTGACATTTTTATTGATTGGCGTAGAATTTTGCTGAGAAGCCATTAATTTTTTACCAACACAACATTGTCCGCTACATTCGAGGGTTCTTTGCAGCAAGCGTCTGTAAAGGAACGGAGCTCTTATGCTTCCAGGTGAATGAAAAATTGTTTTTATCAAGTGAGGAAAGAGAAAAATAAAATGTGCAAACAATGAATGAATGTCTCTGTTGCAGAATTTGGAATGCAAGTTCCTCACACATCCTTTGTTTTCCAGTACCTCTGCTGTGGCGGTCAGGCGGTGCTTCGCAAAATTTACCGCAAGTCGGTGGCAGACAAGGATGGCCTACAGCTCCCTCGTCTTCCGAGCATGTCTGAAGATGTCCAGAAGTCGCCCCAAAAGACGAAGAAAAAACAGTCGAAGCCCAAAGTTGGAGACACAGACTCCGACGACGTGGTAAGTCCACGCACCATTCTGCATCCTGTCAGCCCATCTGTAACTACTAGGCCTGTGAACTGTCACCTTTGTAGCTTTGCGATGTCGGTTCATTTCGTTTTTACGTGGTGGAAGTAATGCCTGGTAGGGGATGATTTCTGGCCTCTAGCGATAAAATACGTTTCTGTCTTCTAGCCTAGGAGTTTTTGGGGGTTTTTGATCTCGAGGAATGCCCGTCTGTCTTGAGTGGCAGCAAGGGAACTGCTTAGGGTCTCTGTGTTGGTGCAATAAAGCACTGCAGAAGCCTACAGCTCCTGTCAAGATAAATGCACATTACTAATGGGAAATTCCACTCGTCGTTTTGGAGCATGCCGGGATCGACTTCTCTGGAGTGCACCTATTTTACTGGGCGATTGGGATCGAGATGGACGTGTTCCACTCGTCGTTTTGGGTCAGCTCCCACTCCCGATCTTGATCTGGATTCGAGTAAAGTCGCTCCAGCAGATTCGACCGGAAGCCAACCTGTCCAGCCCTTGGCTTGCAAACGTGACTTCCTTTCCCACCAAAATCTGGGGCGTCTCGCCAATCTCACGTCAGAAGAATTCGTAATGGCTGCCCGCGAAGTGCTGCCTGCTTTGCTGCTGTGCTGCTTGATGACAGTTCGTCGCCAAGTTGCTCGAGCAGCTCCTCCACCAGGAGCGTCGCGGATAGCACTGACGACGAGGATTGCTTGTATGTCCCGCATGAATTCGACCGCCGTTTCGGACCTCCGCAAAAGTGGCCAAAAGTTGAGACATACTTGGACACTATTCATGAGTATTCGGATGAAGAGGCAAGTGGGCTACGCTGATGCACATTGCTTATTGACACGCATCTTTCACATTATGACTAACTTCGCTTATGCGTTGAGCACACTCATTGTTAGCACCATGATTGCTAAAGCGTGTGTTTGAGATCTAGGACCGCGGGTAGGGGACTCCCACAAAGGTGATTGATGGGAAGGCAACCGCCGATCCCGAAGGAGTGGTCATGTTCCGTTGGGGATCCGGAAGCGAAGTGACTCTGTTCGGATCGCGTGCTCCATCTCGGATCTGGTTTACTGATCCCAGCACACTCCAAGACGACCAGGGGAATTCGCTATAAGGAATGTTTGCCGCATAGTTATACAGTCAAATCTCGTTATAGCAAAGTTGAAAGAGCGGTCGTAATTATTTCGTTATAACCATTAGTTTGTTATAGCCAATGTCCATTTCTTCCCACTATTATCAAGCAAGGGGTATTATGATTGCTTTGTTATATCCATTAGTTTGTTATATCCCAGTTTGTTATAACGAGGTTTTACTGTACACCAATGGGCGACTCGGATTTTCTGAAGCAGGAGGACACTTCACTTCAGTGCAGAGTCAGTCGGGGCTATTTGAAAGCTCGGGGAACCCCTAGGTTTTTCTGGAACTCCTGGATTCTTAGGAACCTGATGTTCTAGTCGTTTCTGAATGTAACAACCTGTGAAACATGCCAACGAGGCTCTAGTGCAAGGGTCTCCAAACTTTCTGGCTAAGGGGCTGGTACAGGGTCTGTCACTTTCTCGAGGGCCGGAAAATAAATAGCTAAACATAAATGATGAAGAACTAAGTAAATGGTCTTATAGATAAGCATTTAGATACAGAATTGAAAGGTATATAGTAAACATAAAAAGAAAGTAGATCCTTAGGTGGATGAACATATCTACTTCATTTATAAGTCCTATATTTAGCTAATTATCACATTGCACAATAATCGGGATCCAGAAAAGTCACCAGCATAAATCAAAGTGCATAGAAACTTTTGCGTGTTTTGACATGTCAGAAGCCTAATGAGAATGATAGAACTGATTCTGACAATATGCAATAGATTTGAGACAGAATGTATGCATGGGAACGAAAATTAATTGTAACATATGTAGTTACACAGATATGAAACGGGACTAATAATAATAATTTTTATTTATTATTACTTGCTTCAGAACGATCCAAGTATTGATTCGGTGATGACGATGTCCAATTAATGATACGATGAGAGGGCACACCTTACGATAGGTAGTTTTTGCTCGCTTCCTCTGATATCTTCGTTAATGCGGTCGGCCCGTGCTGCAGTGCCGTTTCTTTACTTGCGCCAGTTCTTGCTCTAGGCGGGCCAATCGGAAGACCTCCGCGTGCCGGGGTTTCGAGACCTTTTCTCTAGTGTATCTGCGAGCTATCCTTAAGATCACAGACCATTCTCACTGTCGCTGCAATTTTATGCGATTTAACCTTTCTTTCTCCCATTGTCCCATCCCTGTATTCACTCCACGAAGGAAGAGTCCGACGCAACGGAAGCGGCAACTGCGGTCTTTCCTCCTAATTTGCCGAACACGGTGTTCCACCCTCTGAGGTCGTCGGCGTTTGCACTGCAGCAGCTGCTGCTCACTGTCGAACCCAAGTACATTGTCCTCTACGACGTCAACATCGCCACAGTGCGTGAAATTGAGGTGGGTGAAATCTTTGTTGTGCCTGTTGTGCCGCGGCTAGGAGCGTGTTGAGCGAAAACATCCGCAGCAGAGCTTGGGAAACGTGGTTTGATCCGTGCCCCTGCCTGTTTTCATCAGAATGAGCATCGTGTTAGCGTGCATTTGTGTATCATTACTGCTTGATGCTTTTTAAGGGTGCCGGACTAGCAGTTGCACTGCACTGGCTAAATTTCTCATGTGCAGTAGAGACATCGGACATTCTTTGGTGTCGACTAACTTCCAGCTGTCTAGACATCCATAGTGTAAATTACTTTTCAAATTACCCTTATTGCCCAATATCTCTTTCCGCAAAATCCCACAAATCCTCTCGTCAATCCCACTTGCACTGCGCGGCGCGGGAAGTTACGGGGTCCTTTCGATGCACGCTTGGGCCAGCTCGTATGCTGCACACATTCTGAAAGTGGCTCAATTCCTTGTCTGTGCTTAGAGAGAAGGCTCAAGTCCTTTTCTCTTACCACTCCAAGATCACATCACAAAGCCAATAGATACTTTGTTTTGTTATCGTCTTGCTTTCTTTGTGTTCTGGAAATGTAAAATGCTAAACAAACATGAACCAGTTTTCCTATTAATGGGTACTTCTTCACAGGCCCAAGGTCAGATTGCTGTAATGTGTCGAAAAGACAATAGGAGGTGCTACATATTTCTGGAATGGTCTATTAGACCCCCCGTAAAAGCAATTATGACATGGAGTGGTGGTTTTTGAATATATTAATCCTTTTCCAACCTCTTCCTATCCTAAGTGCAGTATTATTTATCTATAACGGTGCCACTTATAACAAGCTGCTACTTTTATAACAAACATACATAGTAGAGAAATCCTCAAGTTTGGTTGAAGACTTGCATGTATAAGTGCTAACCTGCTTATATAGTGTAAACGACTAAATTTTCGCGAAGACCTAATTTTCACGAATTTCGTGAATTGCCTACAATTCGCGAAAAATATGTTCTGTGAACAATTCGGGCAATATGTGAACGCTACGGAAGCTACACTCGATTCGCGAAAATTAGAAGCCGCAAATAATTCAAAATTTTCAGCTTTGGCCCGATTCGCGAAAATCTGAGCCCCCGAAAATTAAGTCGTTTACAGTAATTGATCAATGTTATAATGAGCGTTTTGGTCATGAGACCAAACTTTTGGAGTGAGCGTTTTGGTCTTGAAACCAAACTTTTGAAGTATTGTCGAGACCGTTTATAACCAAGTCAGTTATAACGAAATAGCGGCTACAGTGAAGCGATCACAACTTCCCATTCCCCTTGGCAATTTTTCAATGCATTTGTGTCTGTTTCAAGTGAAGGAGATGGAGCGGCTCCCACGGCTATAGCAAAGAAATATTTTTTGTGATAATTTAAACAGTACAGTCTAGACCGCATGTAACATATGTCGCGGGAGTTGCGAAAATCCGCACTATAAGCGGTACCGCACTATAACCAGAACATCAATTTTTCAGGCCAAAATACATGCCATCAGACAACTTACCTTTGTAAAAGAATTTATTTTATGTTAGATGAAAAATAAAGCTTAGTTTGAGGAAAGTCTTTATTTCACCAGACTAGTACACTTCTCTCTCAAGTGTGTCACACATTTTGAAAGAAATGAGTGACTTTTGCCTGGTGCAACCTTTTAACGGCGTTGCGGGTTGCGGACCGACGTTGCGAGCGTTCAGAATTGCTAACCCTAATCACTTTTCTCCGGCAATGAAAACGCGTGAAAATTCGCATCCTTTTTACGGTACGCTCCAGTAATACCTTTAACTTGAGCACAGGCATGAAATGCTCCAAATAAGAAATCCGGGCGATGTTCGAAAACACAAATGCTTAGAAAGCACCACTGTAGTCGAAGTAAACAAACACAACGACACGGGCGTTTCTGCCATCTTGAGAGTGCCGCCACAACATTGCCGCACGAGTAGGTGGATCTTCCCTTCTAGTGCGTGCTGGGTTATCATAGCGACACACAACGAAAATTCACAGTCAAGGATAGCGCTTTTACGCGGAACGATTAGCTTCCACTGTAGTGGTCGCTATTTGTCCAGCTAGTGGCGCCCTCTTAGTGTAGAAGGGCGTGCGTGTTCTTTAGAAGAAGTAAAGGGAGTTCTTCACGAGCAGCCGTCGGTGTCGGATGTCTTCTACTGAGCTCCGCCTCACAGGGTTTGAGAGGTAGGCTCTGAATCCTACATGGTGTCAGAAGTGGGATATGGCAAGCTCTGATAGCACAACCGATTCCACACCCTGGAGGGGCATCGCTTTACGCCAGCCTGACAGCTTCGACTTTTCGAATGCGGAACTGTGGCCCTCCTGGCTATCGCAGTATGAAGACTACGCCTTTGCATCGGGTCTTTCCTCGGCACCTCAAGATGTTCAGGTACGTCTGCTACTCTACTGCATGGGATCGGAGGCCCGACGCTTGCTGCAGTCCTTTTCGCTGTCCGCCGAGGCGCCATACAACGCCGTGGTACGGTGTTTCACCGAGCACTTCGTCCACCCCGTCATTGAAGTATACGAATCGTCGCGTTTCCATCGGCGGGTCCAACAAGCGGAGGAAACCGTAGATGCGTTCTACGCGGAGCTGATGCGTCTAGTAAAGCGTTGTAACTATGGCACCCCGGAGGTCGAGGAACGTCTTGTCAGGGATCGTTTTGTCGTCGGTCTTCGGGACTCTCAGCTGTCTGACCGTCTTGGACGTAACCCAAAGCTCACGCTCAAAGACGCGTGGGTACAAGCGCGCCAAGCCGAAGACGCCGACAAAGAAAAGGCAACCAAGGCAAGCACGGGTCAATCTGAAACTCCAGGAGGTCAAGGTGTCAATCTTGACGCGTCCAAGCTCGCAGGTCGCCTCAAGCGGCGCGGCACTAAGCCTAACGCCACCAACGCTGCTCACGACCAGTCGTCTCGCGTCTCTATGGGCAGGCCTGGTTCTTGTTTATTCTGCGGACGTTCACCTCATCCTCGTGAGGACTGTCCCGCACGCAAATCGAAGTGTAACTTTTGCCGTAAGCAAGGCCACTTCGCAGAGGTCTGTCTCTCCCGCATGAAAAAGCAAGCCAAAGTAGGCACTCTACAGCTTTCTGTAGTCGACGCCGGAGAGAAGGCTAAGTACATTGATGTCACCGTGAACAAATATACAGCGTCCTTCAAAGTGGACTCGGGAGCCGAGGTGACGGCTGTTCCAGATGATTTCCCTCGGATTCCCAAGCGTTTGTCAAAGGTGGAAAACGCCATTCATGGATCGGGCAACCACCCGCTTAAAGTGCTGGGTTCTTTCTCATCGACGCTGTGGTGGAACGGCAGATCTTCCAAGCAGCAGGTGTATGTTATCCAGTCTCTCGGTACTCCTTTGCTGGGCTTCTCTGCCATACAGGACCTTCAGGTCATCAAGTTCCTCGATTCTGCAGCCAAGCCTGCCGTCAACCCAGGCTTCACTGAGCTCTTCACAGGTCTTGGTACGCTACCCGACGAGTACACGATCCGGCTAGAATCCAAAGCCACCCCTTTCTCTTTGAGTGTACCTCGTCGTATACCCATTCCCTTACGAGAGGTCGTGAGGACGGAACTGGAGAAGCTCGAGCGACAGGGCATCATTCGTCGGGTTGAAGGCCCCACCCCATGGTGTGCAGGAATAGTCGTCGTTCCGAAGGCTTCTCGTGGTCACCGTCTCTGCGTTGACCTTACGAAGCTCAACAAGGTCGTCCTTCGAGAACGGCACATGCTCCCTACGGTGGACCAAGTTCTCGGACTTCTGGGAGAAGCGACTGTTTACTCCAAGTTGGACGCAAATTCCGGATTTCACCAGGTGAAACTTGCCAAGGAAAGTCAGGAGTACACCATTTTCATTACTCCCTTTGGCCGCTTCTGCTTCTGTCGTCTGCCTTTTGGACTTACGTCGGCACCAGAGTACTTTCAGAAGCAGATGGCGCGCATACTGGAAGGACAGGTCGGGTGCGTCAACATGATTGACGACATTCTTGTCTTTGGACGGACGCGCGAAGAACATGACGCGCGGCTCAACCAGGTACTTTCCCGACTATCGAAGGCTGGCATCACTCTCAACAAAGACAAGTGCGTGTTCGGAGTGTCCGAAGTCAGCTTCCTTGGAGTCGTCGTGTCAGCAGAAGGCGTGAAGCCGGATCCTAGCAAGATTCAGGCTGTCCAGGCGATGGAAAGGCCTGAGGATGTTGCAGGGGTCCGAAGGCTACTTGGCATGGTAAACCATGTTGCGCGTTTCGTGCCGCACATCTCCGAAGTCACCGCTCCTCTCCGAGCACTTTTGTCGAAGACCAACGTATGGGCCTGGGGTCCTGAGCAGGCGGTTGCATTCCTACGGGTGAAGAACCTCTTGAGTTCAGACTGCTGTCTCGCCAAGTACAACCCAGTGTACCCCACAACAGTTTCGGCAGATGCCAGCTCCTTCGGTATCGGTGCCGTACTCCTTCAAGACCAACCTTCGGGAGAAAGGAGGGCGGTGGCCTTCGCATCTAGGGCCATGACCCTGACAGAGATGCTCTATAGCCAAACAGAGAAGGAGGCTCTGGCAACGGTGGGGGCTGTACAACGTTTTGACGAGTTCGTACGTGGTTTGCAGCTCAGTGTGGAGACCGACCATATGCCCCTGGTATCTCTCTTCGGCAAGATGGAGTTAGACATGTTGCCTCCTCGCATCCAACGCCTTCGTTTAAAGCTGATGCAGTACCAATTTCGCATGCTGTATGTGCCGGGAAAACTACTGGCAACAGCAGACACACTCTCCAGAGCTCCCCAGAGAATGGGGTCTGAAGACAAGGGCAAGGACTCCCTTGACACATTTGCAATTGCAGCACTGGAAGACACGTCTGTTGACCTTCCACTCCTCCCCGAGGAAGTCCAAGCTGCGCAACAGTCTGACGGAGAGTGCTGTGCACTCAAACGCTATTGCGAGGTTGGATGGCCGACGAAGCACAAGCTGCCCGTCAATTTGTCCAAGTATT